TTGCAGGAGGATCTTCCGATCAGCATTTGATTAGGAAGCGCTGTGTGGGACACACGATCCTCCCAGGGAGAGTTTAATGCTTTCTTCCCGTCAAAAGCATGAGGCTGCATCCTGGGGTCAGGATGTCAGTGACATGTAGCTGACACTGAACGCTGAAGCCTGCGTGTCAGTCAGGTCTTGGACGAGGCTGCGCTCTGTCTGCTGCACAGACACGTTTGCCCTCTCTGAAGGGAGGTCCTTGTGGATGTAGCCATGAACTTGGTGTTTTCCAGGTGGCTGTGTTTGCCCTATGCCGGATGAATCCCAGTGCTGTAAAACACGTGTCCCTGTTCTGCTTCCTAAAGAGATGCATCTGCTGATGTCAGCTTCCAGGTAAGATGCACCGGAACCTGCTCTCTCTCAGCATCTGTGGCCTTTGGCCTCTGCTGGTAGTCAGGCATCCTAAGGAAACTAGCAGTGACCTAAGGCTATTTTTTTGCTAATCCTTGGTCAATGTTGCAGATGGAGAAGTAAGGGCAGTTTTCCAGCAGGTGAGACCCTCCAGGCCAGCAAGCCAGACAAGAAATATAAACACAGGAAATAGCATCCATGCAATAAGATAACAAAGAAAGGAGAGGCTGGGAAAGCTTTCTGCTGCATGTGTGTTGGGGGGGGAAGCACAGAGCTTGGAGCTTTCTCTCTAACAGGAGCAAGCAGATGTTGAACCTTAACACAAAGGAAGGGGTTACTGCCTGGACGGAGAGAAAAGTAGAGAAAAGAAGGTTTCTGCTTTGTCCAGACAGAGGAAGAGTTGCTCTCTAGGGCACAGGGTCTGTGGAATGAAGATCTTGAGCCTAGGTGTGGGGTGAGTTAGTGCTTTGCTCAGGGCAGAGAGTTCTGGTTAGCTCTGCTCCACCTGGTTGTTCTTCTGTCTCAAAAGCAGTTCTGAGTGTCTCTGTGTTGAGGGAACCTCTGCTCTGTCTTACCTGTGAAACCCATTCCCTGAACTCCTCCTATTGGCATCTTTGTGTCCCCCCCCCCCCCCCCAAATCCCATGGGTTTATCAGAGCCTCTACATTGCTCAGTTTATCCCTGATGGCATGGCTGGGTAGTGCAGTGGCAAGGCATCTGCTGGCTTCATCCCTGTGAGCAGCAAGATGGAGAAGCCACCTGTGGTGCCCAAAATAGCCTCTGCCTGGGCAATCCAATCCAAATGGTGTTGATAGCAGTGGGGGATTCCCATGCCTCATAAAGAAGCTTTTGTTGGGAGGATCTAAGCTGAGCTCCAGGCCTTGCCAGCTGTGGAGAGGAGCAGATGGATCTGCAGTATAAAAATAGATCGAAGCAGACTTGTTCTGCCCCTTTTCTTCACTAGCTCAAAGTATAGTCCCAGAGGTGCCTGGTCAGCTGAAGCAGAGCAGAGAACTGGGTGATTTGCAGCTGCCAGTCTGCCTGGAGCCCATTAGCTGTTGTCAGAGACAGGAATTTATCTCTCTTCAGTCCCATTCGCCTTACAGCTGCCGTATGGACAATCTCCTTTGCTCACAGCTGTTGGCAGTGTGTTACATCCCATCTCCCTGAGGCAACACAAGCAGGAGAATGGGGCATTTCTGTGAGACACCATGTTCCTAAACTCTGCTATACTTTGCCTCGAGAAGCAGAGGTATAGTCTGTGGCTGTGTCCTCTGGATGAGATCTTTGTACAGCACCTAAGGAAATGTGCTGCAGACATGCACCAGTGTGTCATGGGCAGTTTCAACTAGTTGATTGGCAGATATTGCAGCAGTCAAGACCTCTGTGTGTTGCACATGGAAATCTCGCCTTTTCCCAACCCCAGCTACAAGGGGAACATTTTGGAGTGCTATGATCTTTGCTGTTGCTCCAAGTGACTTGGCTGCTTGTTCCAATGCTGTAAGTTCATACCAAAGGTCTGAGGTTAAAACACCTTTCAAAGGTGTCTGAGGCTCATTGTCCTTGGTGTCTTATGTAGATGAAAATGGGAGTCCCCTGTGGATAACCCCTGGCCCAGTTGTTCATCCCAGCACTTTCCATCTAGGCTTAGAAATTTTTCAACCCTAAAACACAATGGGTTTGGTGCACAAAAGCAACTGCGAGGCTGCATCAGTACTCAGAGCAGGCAGGATGTGGTCCCTCTGCATGGCGCCTGCAGAGCACTGCCAGCCCATCAGTCCTGAGACCTGTTTGCATAAAACCCCCTTCTCAGTTGGCATCCCCACTCCATCCCCTCGTGCTAACTGAATAAGGATCACGTAGATGTTTCCTGAACGGGCTTTCGTAAGGCACTAATTTGATACACTCAGGGCATCTTCCTGTAATGAATGTTCCTGAGGTAAGGTAATTGAAGGTGACTTTGCATGGGTGGGTGGGGGGAACAGGGCAGGACTGCTGGCAGAGATCATGGGAGGAATAGAAGAAAACCCTTTTGTTCCTGTAAATTCCAAGTGCGTTTTGTCTGTTTACACTCCCTGTCTCCCCAGCTTCTATCTGTGCTTTGTTTTGAAGGTGGCTGCACTCTTCCTCTCCTCCTCAGTTTTTGGGGTATTTTTTCCATTTCATCTTGTGCATCTGTTCTGCTGCTTTTTCATTTTTGCTTTTTGTTTCTTTGCTAGTTTCTTCCACTCTGCCCTATGTTCTCCTGCTTCCTGAAAAGCCGCATGCTGTGGTGTGTGAGGGAGAGGCACTGAGGCTGGCCATATCTCTCTGCACTGGCATCCCAGGATATACTAGCTGATTCCCTGCTGTTTCTTCCAGGGAACCATATAGGAGCAAGAAGGGAAGAGGGAGTGAAGAATCCTAGATTTCCAGGTGCTACCACAACTTAAATCTTCAGGACATGCACTTTTGCTTTACATATGCTGTTTGTTTTAGCCAAGGGAGGAGACAGCACTACTGTTCAAGTGGAGGGAAGGCCTCCAGCCTCACTCCTTCTATGATAGTTTCTCTTTGGGAATATTCTCCTTGATCACAGACCCCTGTACTCTCATTCGGTGCTGGGAGTCAGGAAATAGCGGCAGCACCGAGCCTTTCCACTTATTTACAGCATTTCCTTCTGCTTGCTTCGTGAGCAGAAAAGGGCTAAAGGGCTTGTTTTTTTCTGAGCAAGTTGGATTTGCAGAGTAGAGGCAATTGCTGTTCCTCTAACTTGGGAAGCACATGGTGGGGAAAAGGTAACTTCTGGAGCCTGGGGACTTGGGTTTTTTCCTCACAGATCTAGAAACCCTGGGTTGTCAGAACTGCAGACAACAAACCACCGGTAATGTGCCAGTAAACAGACTAGGAAGCATCTGCCTTGCATTTCAATGGCGTAAACGTGACGTTTCACCCCTGACTGTTTCTTTCTTTAGCTCCTTACAGAAACGTTTCAGCCACTAACTTGATGGGATTCAGCTCAAAAAATGGCCATCTCGTCTCTAGCGACTGCCACGAGAAGTCTCCACGCTTCATGGGGAGCTCAGTGTTGCCCCCACCTTCAACAGTTGGTGGCTGTCATGGTGCAGAGGTGGGAGGGGGCCTTCCTGGGGATTTCCAGCAGCACAGCAGGAAAGGGGGGACCAAAACTGGTGGCTCCAGCAGTCCAGTCCAGACCTCACTTCCATCTCCATGTGCCCAGTGAAACTCTAGATACAAACCAGAATCTGGACTGAATGCATGTTTTGATTGCTGTGTTTTGTGCCTGATGCACTTGGTTAATGGCCAGGCTGTGCAGCAGGGGAAACAATCTCCAAAACACAGCCCTTCATAAGCCCCAGATTTGGGCATCTAACTTGGTGTAATAGTTCAGCAGCATTTGTACTGCAAGTGCAGCGTGTGTATAGTTGTACCTCCATTTTTCCTGATGACCACTGAGGGTCATTTTTATTTTTAAACTCGGACAGGATGCTCGAGCTGGAGGACAGGGAGCAGTGAGGGCTCCCTCTGCTGTTTGTGGGCTTTCAGGTTCCCAACTAATTCGGTCCCCACTCAGATCAAATGTTTTGCCAGGGTGGAGATGACATTGGAAGCTCTTCAGCCTATAGATGACTCTGCAAAAGACCCATATCAAATACAGTTATTGCTGTTAATATGGAAAGCCCAGTGCATCTCACAGCACCCTGTGAGTAGGTCTTCTGGCTTCTGTGGGCACAGCCTGTGTGTGAACGTGAATTCAGGTTTGGACCCAGTGTAATATACCATTGAGAAGGGATGGATGCTGCAGTTTTGGAATTCAGCAGAGGATGGACTAGGCTGGGAGACACTCACGCAAGATCTCCATCACTATGCTGATTAGGTAACACCTGTGCTGTGTCATCCTGTGGAGGCCAGAGGAAATTAAATCCTGTTCAATTTGGGGTAGAAAGCTCAGGTCTGTAAAGCAGCTTGTTCTGTTGACTTTTCTGGTTATTTACTTCAGGCAGATTTCCCCACTCTTGAACGAGACAATGATGGAGACTCCGTTGTCTTCACTGGGATACTCCTCCCCAGGATGACACTACCTGACTCAGCATCAAGACTAAGGCCCTTAGGGAGTTGCTAAGAAGTCAGGTGGGATTGGGGCAACCACAAAGGATTTTTAAGAGCAGTTAAGCAACTTAAGAGCAAAAGTGCCTCTAAATTTTCCTGAATGTTTGGCTTATTAAGGTTATTAGCCCAGGTCCTTATTTGTTCTGGTGAAGCCTGAAAACGTTCTGGCTAGTTGAACCGGACAGTGCCTTGCCAGAGTACTTGCAGCAAGCTGGTGGCAACTTTTCTCTTTGCCTTGGACAGGTCAGTATGGCCTCTCACTTCATGTTTTTGAGGCCTCCTTTTTCTTTTGGAGGGTCTTCCCCTTTGTTTGCTTGATTTCTTGTTTCCCCCCTCCCAGCTCTCTCTCTGCGGACCACATTCTGGAATTGTGCTCAGGAAGACATTCCTGTGTTTCTCAGCTGTAACATAATTGATCCTTTGTTATGGTATTTCAGTTAGGTGCCCCTGAAGGGTGAGCAACTCTGGTCAGGAGCAACGAGACTTTCTCACTCTGACTGTTCACTGGCCTGGCAACTCATAAAAGTGCTATTTTTCTTCACCTCAGTTAAACTGCTAACATGTCCCAGCACGCACAAGATGCGGAGGCTCAATAAACCCAAAAGGCTCATTGTTAAACAAGGTAAGTCATCCTGAGAGGCCGGCCATTAGATAGTTTTCAATGCTTTCCTCTGTTTTTTGTCAAGAATCAGACAGTGAGGTGATGTGGCAGAACAGTCCATAGCACGAATGGAAAACACTGTGTTCCAGTTCTCTGTAAAGGCCCAAGAATAACTGCCTCAGTGCTTCCTGTGTCTGGTTGATGCTGAGCTATCAAAGAGACTTTTTCTGTGGGTTAAATTGAGCTCTCTGCATTTAAGAATGGAAATGATCTTCTTAAATATTTCTTTTGCTGTTAAGTTTGGCCCTTGCTTTGCTAGCAGCTGTATACATTGAACAAGCTAAAAAAGAATACAGTGTAAAAAAATTAGACATAGAAATAAGACAAAGGAGTAACAGAAAAAACAAGCACCAATTCGATCATGTGTCTGAGTTCATTCAGACCCTGTGGAAGCTGGGAATTTTATGCAGGCAGCTGAGAGACAAAATGGTAGTCATTTTTAGAAGTTTTGTCTGAGCGTATGAAGGTAAGTGAGAACATACTTATAGGTCAAGCATACATGGGCAAGGGAAGCTGAATCACTGGCAAATCAGAGGCAGGAGAAAAGAGTGGGATGTGGAGATCTGAACTGGGAGGGGTTATTGCCCTGGGTCATGAATATTTTGCGTAATGCATAAGGAGATGGAAAGGTGAAGAAAGGCCACAGGCATACTAATTATTTGCAAATTACACTATGTCATCTTTCCCTCTGCCCAATTTCAGCCATTGTTTGGTGCAGGCAGCAATACATGTGCATGCTACATCCATCCATCTTCATGATAGCTGGGTTAAATTGCACAATCATTATGAATACCATTTGCAGGCAACTCCTATTGCTGCTCCGAGCCTCCGTCCAGTAATCTGTGGCTCCAGGGTCTGGGCGCTAACATTTTGAAACTGTGGTCAATCGGAGGGTATTTTTCTGCTGCTGCTTCTCTCACCTTTTTATTCCATCACTCTGCTAAATCACTCTGTTGTAAGTAAGCATTCTTCTAGGACTGGTAATTCAAGATCTTGTGATTCAACATGACTAGAGAATGGTTCTTTGTACCTGTAAGAAGTGAGGAATCCTTCCACTAAGATTTTGCTTCTAGCCTTGGGGAGAACTTCCACACCAAAAACTACAGCTTTGTGTACAGAAAGCTTCCCAGGTAGTTTGGTAGTTGTTTCTAAAGAGGGCTTGCTTACGGTGGAAAATTACACTATGATAGAAGGAAGCTTTGAAGACCTGTAATAGTTAACATGAAATTAAGCACATAACGTGAACAGAGAAGCATGGACAAGCAGATGTGATAGTGTACCATATTTTTGTACGCTGAATGCAAGGTCCAAGTGAATCTCATAAGTGTTGCAATTCTTCAGGACCACAGCCTAACCTGATGTAGTTCTGCAGTGCTGAGCATCCCTTTGGTGTAATTGCTTCTTCCCTCCCAAAGCCTGAACATCTGGATTTATGGTGACAAAAGCAATCCAGTGAGGAAGGAAATGAAAAATGGTACCCCTGTGTATTTGAAAAGAGGCTGGGTATGGTCTGAGTCACACATGTAAGAGATGCTCTGGCACCCCCCAACTGTCCCATCCCACAATACCAGTACCACTGCTGCTCTCCTCTGTTGGAAGCCGCTGCTCACAGTGACTGCTTCTCAGCATAAACATCTCTAAAAGCCCCTCTGCCGCCATTGTGTAAATGGTGATCCACCAGCCACCTTCAATGGGAACTACTGATATTAATCTCTACCATTCTGCCCTAATACCAGTTTATTCATTAACTTTCTATGGTTTAGGTGCATGCCTCTTAATTGCACCTACCACTGCCCACCTCTCTGGGGAGAATGTACAGCCCTTGTGTTACAGGATCATAAAAAAATCGACAGCTGGAGGGGATGCAGCAGTAAGAGAGATGAACGCTGTCTTCCTGGGACAATTATGAATTTTTGTGCCTCTTGAAGGAGCCATATGGAGCCTACCCACGTGTCTTCACCTCTCTTTGAAATGCCTGATAATGCTCTGCTGAGTCGGGGGAGGAGGGGAAGATGGGTGAGTAGGTAAGCATATATGTGCTCTTCACTGATTTTTCTGATTAACACAGGAGGAGGCTGTGCTAGAGAGGCTTCCCAGGGCACGGCCTGGCTTGATGGAGGCTTTAAAAAGTTATTTTATTTTATTCAGTTCCTGGAACTGAGCTGATGCTGGTGGTTGTCATTATGCTGGGACCAGGAGGAACCGAACTGAGCGTCAACATGTTTGTGAGTGACATGCTTGTGACTGCTTCCTGTTGTGGAACAAAAGATGTAAAAGGTGAGTAAGCAGGTACTAAAACATGGATATGAAAGTTTTGCAGGCTCCCTTTTGCTCTGGAGACAGAATCAAGTAGAGCCTGTGTTGGGGGAAGATGTCTTGTAGCATTGCCTTTTGCCAGGTAGTGCCTTTTTTTCTGCTACCACTGATAAAGGAAAAAAAAAAGCTCCTTTATTGTCACTGAGTGCTGTGAATAGTCTGTCTGATCAGTTAGAGATTCGATTTGGTAAGGAAGCTCTGGGCTAGCAGTTTATGGGACAACGTGCTATCCCAGCTCTTTTCCCTGCATGGCCCAGTTATCCATTGCACACCCCTGCCACACTCACTTATTCCCTGTGCTCCCCTTCCTTACATCTGTGGGTGGACCATGTCTTGCAGATGATCTATCCAGGGAGCATGTGTTACGTTTCCCTCCTGTTCATGTGACTCTGGGGATGTTTGTTCCCTTACCAGTTATGTCTGAGATCCTGTAAAAATATAGGGTGTGAGGTAAGTGGAAATCTTGAGGCATGCCAATGAAGGCGGCTGTGTATTGTTTCCAAAAACATTTCTTTCTGGTGTGTAAAAAGAAGGGTCCCTTGTTCAGGGTCTTTCTCACCCAGAGTTGCTTCTCAGAGAAAAGCAAGAGCTAGCGCTCATATTGTTGCTGGTGATTCTGTTAAGTATTCCCCCAGGAGGTCCTACATATCTTTGATGTAGACTTGTTTATGTGTTGGCTGCCTCCATCCCTACCAGTGGTGCCCCCCCCTTCCCTCCCCCCTCGCATTGCCTTCTACCCCTACCAACTTTAAATGGCATCTTTTGAATAATCTTTGTTGACACAAGCTGCCTTAGTTGTAGTTGCTGCAGGGGTTGGGAAGGCTCCTCAAGCAAGGAATGTTCAGTCCTTGGGGTCATGGAAACCAGCCAGGAATTTCTGCTCTCCCATTCCCAGGGGCATGAGGAGCCTGCAGAGGAAAACCAAAGGTGACCATTTGCTCAGTTTAAATGTCGTTGACCTGAATTGGAGATGTTTTCCAAGACTTTTTAAGATCAAGAGAGCAGATTTGGAAATATGACTGATATCTTGATGGAGGAGAAGAAGTGATCATTTCAAATTGTAGAGTCCTATAATACAATACAGGAAATTGTCATCTGAAAAACGAAAGCATCAGGCACTGTCTCTTTCGAGCCTTCAGAGCTTTTTTTTCCCCCCCACTTGATACATGTGTGTGGCTTGTTCAGTGACAGAGCTGGATATTAAATGGCCAGGTATCATTTCTTGCATGTATGAACGCAAAGTATCAAGATAGGCTATAAAGTTAGCTATATGCCATATGATCACTGAGGATAGTGTGTTACTCCGAAGGAGAAAGGAGGTGACAGTGGGACTAAAGCTGTCTCTTTTCTGTAAGACTGATATCTTAACAGCTCTCGTGGGAGGAAGGACATGTTCAACCTAATAGGATAACGGAATAGTATGTTGAACATATCGGCTTTGACACAGACCAGCTGGTGGCTGTAGACACAAATAACCTAAGGAAAACAAATTTGAAATGTTTCAGGAAATGGCTATATGCATGCAGTGCAGTGGGGGGGCAGGAGGGTGCCTTGTGTGTAAAAGAAAAAAGATAAAAGCCTCTTTCTTGGCTGTGGGAGGAGTGTCTTGCTCATTCCTGGAAATGACTACATTCCATCCTTAATGATAGTTGGGGCTATAAATTTAGTACTGTATTCTCCTCTAGACCCACAGATCTCTGCACTGTGAGGTTGGACCAAAGGTCCAGTATGGAGTCTAGCTGGTAAAAAGAAAAATTCCCCAAACCAAACAGAAAAACCTTCCTACAGTTACTGTTAGAAATTTCCTCAGAAATTGTTGGTATGGTAACTATTGTTCAGCAGGAAAATTATCTCCACCAATAGGTCGTCCACAGTTTCTTCCCTTCCTTCTTTCTGCTCCTTTTGTGTTTCTAATACATCTTGTCTTTTCATCTCTGTCCAACTAGTTTAAATTCCAGTCTCCATAGACTGCTGTCCAGCAATGAAATGGTTAACACAGACTTTTTATTTCTGTCTTTTTTTTCCTTCATAAAGCCAGTCTTTGTGTTTTGGAGCCCAGTGAGATACCTGGGTGGAAGGTAATTACTCTTCTCAGAGCTTTGATTTCAGGCTCTCTGTGGACCTCAGCAGATGCCATTTCAGCTGCTCCACTCTATTCACATGTGAATTATTTTCTTTGAAACTGTGAAAGAGAGATATGTACTTTTCTTTCTAAATTAAAGCTCAGATTCTGAGCTGGAGCGTGTCAGGCAAACCATAGCCAGTTGGTGGATGAATGCATAACCATATAGGTAATATGATTCTTTCAGTGCCTCTCTCAAGTCAGAAGTTGTGTCTTCAGGTGACATGCAATCCATGTGCTTACAATCCAGCTGGCCAGATTTCAGTATGTTGGTGACCACCATAATAGATGACTCCACACTCTGCTGTGGCTAGGATCAACATGACACGAAAGACAGTATCAGTGACGTAAACTGCTAATGAGCCTTTGAAAGATGCCGAAGATATCTAAGATCTTGAAGAGGCCAATCAGTCCTCCCCTTCTTCCCTTGGTCGTTGCAGTTCCACTCTTGCCCTGGCACACATGCTTTCTCTCTCTCTTAAAAGTCTTCAGTTCATGCCATTACAAGGTAGCAAGCATTCATATGTGCTCAAGCAGAAAGCTAGTAGAATGTGTTACGCTCTTCATAAACACAACTTCCTTCTTCCTCGTTTGCCAGCAGCGTGTCAGCAGCAAGTACCACTTTCTTTTGCAAGAATGGCTTTGGTAAAAGGTACACTAATGAGATATACTCCATTGACGAGTTATTTCTGGCACAGACAGAGCTGGAAGGAAGTCAGCATTACACGCAGACAATCTTTGGCCTGGGAAGGTCTGAGAACCCTTTAAATACTTGGCTCAGAAATGGCTCTTTTCCTTTTATCTAGGAGATTTTTGCTTTCCTGTTGAGTTAATTAAACTTCTGTTTTGTCTTCCTCATGCCCTTTTGCCAGCATCTAGCCTTTTCATGAAGACACTAGTTCAATAACCATCATTTATAGTGTCAAGCTTAGGTTACTACTGTCTGTTTGCCAAGTGCAGCTGCAACCATCTGCCCAATTTTGCCTGTTGCTGAGCCAGAGGTACTGTCCTTCACTACACAAATGTGCCATTGAGGCCTCGTGTTGTCCCTTCCATGAGCTGTCCTTAAACGGTGGCATGTTTTGTCATCTTCCCACTTCTCTGAAAAAAGGTCTTGTTTCCATTGGACAACTGATTTGGACTGCAGTAGCGTCTGCAGTTCAAGGAAGTACTACTTCTGGTTAAGCACCTTGTATGGATATTCTCACTTTGGAATAAGAGTATGTTACTTAGAAATAAATTCTAAAGCAGATCAAATTATTCTGAAGTAGAAGTTTCCAGGCAGGGTGTCAATGTAAGTCCCTGCATATAAAACCCCTGAAGGCCTGAAATCTTGAGAGACTGTGTTCCTGAGTGTCTGAGGGTAAGCATCAACTCATCGGACAAATTCAGCTGAAGGGTTGAAGCCCCCTTTCCCACTTCTTAGCACAAAACTGTGCTCCTACATCATGTTGCAGCAGAGCGATCCCACAGATGCTCCCTTTTTTCTTCCCTTCCCTGCCACCCAAATCACACTGCAGCCCAAGTTACTTCTGGTCTGTGAGAACTGTGAGTTGAATAGCTGTGGTGAGAGACTAGCAGGGAAGCATTTTAATATGGAGAATGTTCTGTCTTTGGGCCAGTCCATGCAATCTGCACTGGAGGTCCTTTTTTGACAGTGCCTGTATGTAGACATCTAACAGGTTTTCTATAATAATCCTAGTGGTAGGAAGGGTCTCATCCTTTGTGAGAGACAGGCCTTATTATAATTTCTTGGTTCACAGCTTGAATGCCTTCCCAGAAATGCAAGATGTTGACTGCTAGTGGATGTTGTTATTTTGTGCTGCTGTGTGAAACTAAAGGTTAATGTAACCTGTTATTGACTGCTGCGTGCAAGCTTTGACCTGCCTGAAAATAATCAGTGCCTATCCTAAAAGTTACCCATGAGGCATTCAGTTCAGTGGGCGGGCTGTAGAAACAAACCTCTTCAACCTCCTTGTTGAGTTACTCTGAATAACATCAAACCCAAACCTATACAATTGAGAGCCAGAGTGGTGTATTGAATCATTTAATACTACTTTGTCACTGTCCAAGCTGTTAACCAAAGCTGTCTCACCTAGAAAATAATGGCGTTTGAGCCATCTAATAAGCTCACCTGAAACAATGTACAGTTTTTTGTATGAAATAATTTTTCAGTGACTTTTTTGTTTTGGTTTGGTTTGTTTGTTCCTTAAGGGCAATGTAAGGTTCCTGTATTCTGCATTTCGTTCTAACTTGGATGGCTCTGAGGTAGTGTTTTGGGATTACTTTACACTCAAACTGTTTATACAGGGCTAAATGACTGAAAATTGTCCTTTTCAGAATTCCAAGTAAGTTCCCATTACTTTCTATATGATATCCCTATCAACCCTATCAAATGTTTTTTCAAAGTTTCTAGAATTCACAAAAACCTTCCACTCAGAGGGGAGCTCCTTGAGGATTTTCAAGTTAGCCACATGATAAATTCAAGGCCATCTTTCTCAAAATCAGATTATTCAACCCCAAATTAGATGTTTGCTAATTCCATTCTCTAACAATATTCTTGCCAGGAATCTGGCAGTATAGAAACATCATGTTCCAGACTCTGCCTCATCTCTCCAGCTTTACACTTTGAAATATCTGATTTCTGCAAGGATTGAAACAAAAGATCGTTCTCCTACTATGAGGGGAGGGACATCTTCCTCTTCCCCAGTTATACCTAAAATTCATTCATTTTGGTATAGACTACTACCTGCTTTGATGAAGGATTAGAACACTCTATTTATAGTAGGTGCTTAAAGACCAGGCTTCCTGAACCCATGGAAAACAAATG